TGTGTGTATATATACACACACACACACACACACACACACACACAGACACAGAATATAATTAAAAAGGAGGAAGGAAGCAGGTTTTGGTAAAGTTAATTGTGTACATGGCATTTATTGTGAAACTGGTCTAACTTTGGTTTATGAACAAAGAGGTAGTTGGGCTAGATTCAAGGGGTGGAGAAGTGGACTGTACTTAGAAGGAGAGGTCTTTTACAATCTATCATACCTGGAAAATTTAAATTATAAGTGAATGAATGAGTCAAGTTAACCAGAGGGCTTTTTTTGTTTGTTGGCTGATTTTTGCTTTAATTAAAGAAGTGTTGTCTTGTTTTTTTGACTGAGTAATAATAATAACAAAATATCTACTTTTTTTTAGTTTTCCTAATAACCACACAGTTGATATACCTCATACTTATGGATTTCCTTGGGTCCTCACAATCACTCTGTGAGAATATTATTTTTCCATAGTTTTAAGTGTGGAAAAAAATTAACATTCAGGCTAATTAATAATAACTGGTAAATGTATTCATTCAACACATATTTTTGAGTATCTGGAAGATTAGATGCCTTATTGAGTAAATGCATTAATAGTAAGTGGCAGAGGAAACTCAAACTTAGTTATGCCAATTCCAGAAGTAGTCCTGGAACACATTGCTTTGTTCATTAGTATTTAAATGGCTGTTCTTATAGATCCTTATTTTGATTTCAATTTTATTTTTCTATTCCCATCATCATTCTCCTTTTTCCTACTTTATTTACTCACTCTTCTTTTCCCTCATTTATAGGGTAGCATCAGAATGCAGCCAGATTACTCCATGTTGTCGGTTGCAGAATTATGCTCTCCACAGGTGAAGGGTAGATGGTGTCTGCTAAATACTGTTTTTTTTGTTTTTTAAATTTATTTTAGAGACAGAAACAGGGGAGGGGCAGAGAGAGGGAAACACAGAATCTGAAGCAGGCTGCAGGCTCTGAGCTGTCAGCACAGAGCCCGACATGGGGCTCGAACTCACGGACTATGAGATCATGACCTGAGCTGAAGTCGGATGCTTAACCGACTGAGCCACCAGTCGCCCTGCTAAATATTGTTTTTAGCTCACTTTTATTACTTTCTCTTTCTCTCTGTCTCTTTCTCTCTGTCTCTCTCATCTCTCTTTTATTTCTTTGTTGTTACTTTTTTTTTCTTTTCCCTACAGTCTCAGAATAATGAGTAGGATTACTTGTGTGTCTAGAAACCATGTCATTCTTTTTTAGACCAGCTATGGAATTTGAGCTGTTTAAACAGTGGAGAGTAAATTAAGTGTTACTATTTTAAAACATGTTTGTAGAAGGTGAATTTAAGTAGGTGCTTAAATCCTGGAATGAAACGGAAGCCTTTGATAAGTAAAACATCCATTTGTTTTGAATGTATTCCCACTACAAGAGAATTCTTATTCTGCAAAAACAGTAAACAAACTGTCACCAAAAAAACAGCTCTCTGTGCCTTTCTTATTTTGCTAGAAGCTAGAAGCAGCTGTTGTTGTTTTTGCTGTAATTCTTATTGATAAAAATGAGGAATGAGAATAGTTTTGGGGAAGGATGGACACTTGTGAATTTTGAACAGCTGCGTAATTATAAGAAAAGACCTGTTCATTTTTGCTGGGAGTTTGCTTATTTTGGTGTCTTTGTTCATCGTGTGGTTCCTTCCCTATTTAGCAATAGAACTGAGCTCCACTCAGTGCCAGGCACCCTGCTAGATGCTGGAGAAAAGAAGAATCACAATAATCATGCTATGCAATTTCACTTTGATAAGTGCTTTATCTCATTTATCTTTATTGTATGTAGGTCTAAGAAGTAGAAATACCTCATATTATATGTGGGAATCTGATACCTAGGATTATATGGTTTAAAATGGATGGAATGGGTAGATGAAGTCAGATTATATGTCTCTAGGTCCATGAGCATAATTCACATTATATGCCACTTCTGCTGGTCTTGATGGTCTCTTAGGGAACCCAAACGTATAAACAAACTCTCACACCGCTGAGTAATTAGCCGTCTAGTACAGGGATGCCCCCGAGCCTGTGGTGGCAGATCAAGAAGTGCAGGATACTTCCTGAAGGAGAGGGGAAATTTCACCAGGGGAGGTAATATTTCCTAAGTTCAATGGGTTTCAGTAGTTCAAGGAGTTGACTCTTAAAGATGACTTAAAGTTTGCTAATGGAAAGGGTGAGAAAGTATCTGCAGCCAGAAGGCCCCAAGGCGTGAGCTGTAAGAGCATTTAGCGTTTGAGGAACCTGAGCAGTAGTGTGTGGCTCAAAGAGGAGAGGTCTGTACAGCCAGGGTCCTGGCTGCTTTCAGATACATTGATTTATCGTATTCTCACAATAAGCCTGTGAAGATTGTTGCTGGTGTAGGGATGAATGGAGGGAAGTAATGCATTTATAAGCTGTCAACCTAACTTGAGGATAGATAGATCGTAAAGACCCCTTTCTGCCACTCTGAGTTTTCTACCTTTGTTACTCACCGGGAAACGATAATGTGTAAAAGTTATTTGAAAATCTCAATATGATGTGCATATTGAAGTTTATGCAAACAAGTCATTTACTCTTTTGAAAATAGGAAAGTACAACTGAAAATCACCTCACGAAGTAGTAAACATTTATAAAATATTTTTTATTTAAAAATATGTTGGTTTGAAATTTAAATGGCTGGTGGTCCAAGGGCATCTTGCATATCAACTTCTGTGACTCTACTGTGAGCACAGACATGGCCGAGGCCTCAACTTGGATGTCTTCATACCCCCAGTGATTGGTGCCATGTTTAATTCCTGTGGTGTATTCAGTGTGAAAAGTTTGAATTAATGAACAAATACAACTTTGTGTGATCATTATCTGATTTGGTAATGAGGTTGAATGAAAATTTTATTTGACTTTAAATGCATATACAATATAGTAGTGGAGTGTAGAATAAACATCTGAGTATTCTTTCTAAGGTTAAAAAATGGGAAGAAATTTGAGCATTGCTTCCCCAAAGCAATTTGAAGATAATTATTTCTACTAGTGGCAAAGTTATTAACCCTTGTGATCGCTTCTAAAGTTCTCAGTGGAACTGGATCCTTCCTTCTCTAGACCTTAGCTTTCCATTCTTCATATAAAGCATTTCTTTCCGATTCAGTTTTTATTGTGAAATTATTCTCAGGTTATAGGTGAGAGTACTCCTGCTAAAATTACTAGTATTTTTTTTTTAATTTCCCAGATTTTCTGCTTTACTATAGGACAACAGAAAAGCAAAGCAAGAATGTACAAGAAAGATACAGGGCAATTTTATGTAGTTTCTGTCTTGAACCCCGTACCGCAGCTACACGTTTTGGCTCCCAAACCATCTGAATTATCCTTTTAGGTTAAACTAAATCCAGGCATTTCAAGAAGTCAGAGAATGAGCTCATGCATTTTCATTTCACTTAATTGGTTTCTTAGTTGCTCTACTGGTTCATCATTTTCATTTATTAATTCAGTAAATAGTTGCTGAATGTCTACACTTTGTTTAAAAGTGCACAACACTTTTAAAATTGTGCACAACAAGAAAACAAAAGTGTTTTGCTTTTTTCTTAATTGAGGCTTGGACAGTTTTTTTCCCAGTTTGGCTGTTTCACAGTTACCTGTAAAACCCTCTTTTCCATCTATTTGAATGAGATACATGGTATATAATTGCTTAAGAGAAATGTCTAACACATGTTGTTAAGTTAAAAAGTTGAACCATATGGAATTGCCATATTCAACCATTTTGACCTAGTATAGCAGCAAGTTTGTATAGTTCAACATAATAAGTGGATATTTTCATTATGAAATTAAATATTTTAAATACCCAATCGTTTTTCTCATAAATTTTTTAAGAGTAGCTTTTACTAATAGTGAAACTAGGTAATACATAGCAGTTACATTATGTGTTCACATGCCTTTGATGGTTATTAAAAACATATGATCAGTGTTCTTGTTAAACAACTTAAAAATCATGCCTTTTTATCAAAAAAGCAAGAACTCATTAAATAATGGCTACATTTATACCTATGTTTTACACTAATACTGACAATGCTTCTTCATTTCAGAAAATTCTGAGCCCTTGAAATATTCAGTACATTTTTAAGAAAATGAGTATTTTCACTTTTATTGTTCTTCTAGTATAAGCGATTTTTCAGTGCACAGAATTTATGGCTTATATTTATATAGTTCATGGAGTTTGTATGTATCCAAACACCCAAAGAAGTGAATCCCTGTGATCAGGTTCTCAGAGGCAAGCTTGTTTCCACTTGGAAAAAATGGTGGCCCAAGAGTGGCAATTCACAGGGTAGACATACCTTCAGTGTGGGTCCATCAAAAATCCAACCAGTTGCGTAATAAGAATCCTGGTGAAAAGCAGCATATGTTAAAACTGTAAATACATTACTTATTTCAAAGAAATATAAGAATTTATAAACTGGACATGTTTACGACTCCTGAAGTTTCCTTAGGTGAATCTAAGAGATCCAGATTTGGTTATTGTTATAAACAATCAGATATCAATACTCTTTTCCCCATGTGCGTATCATGTTAACAAAATTAGAGTAAGTTTATTAGATCACTTAAAAAATTTGGTATTAATAATGTATTTCATTTGCCAGCACAAACTGAAAAATTGAACTTTGAATTTCCTTTAGGAAGTATCATGAAACAAACAAATCGTGTTCCATCAGAAAAAAAAAAACACATCAATAAATAAAGCCTTTTTTCCCTTGGGTTTTGTAGAACAATTCAATGATTGCAAAATAAAGTCACAGTATCAATTAACCAAAGTTATTTTAATGGTTTTTAAATTTTTTTGGTGTTTAGCATATTTGCTAAAATGTATGCTCATTAGTAGAGTTCAGATTCACATTTTCCACATGGTTTGAGTATAGTGAAAGGATGAAATAACAGCAAATATAAATGCTTAATGAATTGGTTTTATTTACCTGTGGCATTTTTCAAAACTGTCTTTATGTTCTCCTGGGTTACAGACAGTGAGACACAGCTCCGAAGAGACATGGTTTTCTGCCAGAGTCTTGTGGCCACAGTCTGTGCCTTCTCTGAGCAGCTTATGGCAGCCTTAAACCAGATGTTTGACAGCAGCAAAGACAATGAGATGGACACCGGGGAGGCCAGCAGAAGGTGGCTGGACCAGATAGCGAATGCAGGTGTTCTTTTTCACTTTCAGTCGCTCCTGTCACCAAACTTGGTAAGGAATCACAGTGTCTCCCACTGCCTATGACAACCATAACATACCTTGTAACCCATTCCCAAATAAGTGGTTATTCATTATATATTAGCAGGCAGTCAGCTACTTTAAAAGAGTTCATTTTTCCATGGGCAAATATGGTTTTAGTAACTATGTAGAAGGTATTTCTTCTTTCCTGATTTCACGTATTCTCAGGCTGCTGAAAGCGGAGAAAGCCTCCATCTGTTACTAATTCCTATATCCCTAAGCAGTGACGGAGAAAGATCATCAGAGGAAAGAGGGTCTTTATGCTGTGGTTCCTTATTTCCAATCCAGAAGTGCCACGAAAGCCAAGCTCCCACTGAGGTTGATATTCTGGAGCCTGCTTGATAGACAAGATCTGACAACTTTCATGCCTTACTATCTGACAATCTGTTTAAAATTTGTGTATGTTAAATGATTTTATTTCCTTCCTTTGCACGCATGTTTGTACTGTTAAATGTAAGAACACTGCCTTAATTATTGTAGAATAGTCCATATTTATGTATCAGTTTCCCGCAGTGCACATGAAGAAAGCATCACAAAATATTTGATAAATCAAAGTAGCCTTTTAACATATACTTTCTGTGGTTCTGATAGTTGTCATGATGTTCAAAAAGACAAATATGTTCAGTCTTACGTATAAGCTGAAGGTGCTCATCAAATAGAATTGTGATTTTAAATATGAGATACTTTGTCACCTATTAAACAAATATATGTGAGTTTATATATCAAAATGTTTTTCTTTAATGATAATGAAGATAGGGAGGTAATTGCAATACTGCGCAGTCATAAAAGGTTCCGGAATGATAAGGTAATGAAGTCTGCCTCAGTGTACTTCAGAGAAACAAAATTCGGTTCTTTTGAAAAGATTCTGTGCGCACCATGTGGGCGACCGATTTCTTACTTGATTGCTAATAAAACTCAGAAAGATTTAACTAATGAAAATTTTGAAATAAGGCACTTTTGGAAATGTTTACAAACAAAATAAATATTAGTTATTTCCTATCAAATAGAAATGACGTAAGAAAGGAAACCCACTTCCTAACACATTAAGTGTTTGTTAGATGGGTGAATGAATGAGGCTTCATTTCTATTTTACTTTTATTTTAAAACTGCCGTTGTTTAATCAAGTGCTGGTACTTTTACTTTAAACTTAATTTTGTTCCAAATCCCAAAGAATGGGAGAAAATATTTGAACTTATATACCTGATAAGTGACATATCCAGACTCTAGAAAGAATTCTTTATTTTTTAATTTCTTAAATTTATTTTGAGATTGAGAGAGAGAACAAAAACAGGGGAGGGGCAGGGAAGAAGAGACAGAATCCCAAGCAGGCTCCACAGCTGTCAGTACAGAGCCCAATGCGGGATCAAACTCACAACTATGAGATCATGACCTTGGCTGAGACCAAAAGTTGGACGCTCAACCAATTGAGCCACCAAGTGTCCCAAGACTCTACAATGAATTCTTAGCACTTAATAAAAAGACAACTCGATTAAAAAAGCACACAAAGGATTTGAATAGGTGTTTCTTGGAAGAAGATATAAAACGGCCAGAAAACACGTGAAAAGATGATCGACATCATTAGCCATTGGGGAAATGCAACTCAAAACTACAATAAGATACTAGGACACATTGAGATGTGGATAACTGTAATCCAAAAGACAATCACAAGTGTTGGTAAGGAGAAATTGTAACCCTCATACATTGCTGGTGGGAATGTAAAATAGTGCAGCCGTTTTTAAATTTTTTTCCATATATTTTTTTATTTGAATATAGTTGACATGCAATGTTACATTAGTTTCAGGTGTACAACATAATGATTCAACCTCTGTATGTGTTCTGCTACCCTCACCACAAGGCTACCATCTGTCACAATACAACACTATTACAGTACTACTGACTATACTCCCTATGCTGTGCCTTTTATTCCCATGATTTATTCATTCCACAACTGGAAGCCTGTATCTTTTACTTCCCTTTATCCATTTTGCCCATCCCACCACCCCCTTCCCTCTGGCAGCCATCAGTTTGTTGTGGTATTTATAGGCCTGATTTGTCTTTTGTTTGTTTATTCATTTGTTTTTTTTTTTAGATTCCACATATCACTGTAATGTAGGCCCATCCATGTTGTCCCAAATGACAACATCTCACCTTTTATATGGCTGAGTAATATTCGTGTGTGTGTGTGTGTGTGTGTGTGTGTGTGTGTGTGTGAGAGAGAGAGAGAGAGAGAGAGAGAGAGAGATACATCGTATCTTCCTTATCCATTTGTTGTTGATGGACACTGAAGTCAGTGCAGCCATTTTGGAAAACTAGCACTTCTTCAAAATGTTAAACACAGAATTCCCATATAACCCAGAAATTCTACTCCTATATAATATACAAGAAAAATGAAAACTTATATTCACACAAAGAAAAATGAAAACTTACATTTACACAAAAACTTGTATACAGATATTCTCAGGCTACAACATGGATGGAGGTTGAAAACATTATGCTAAGTGATTATAGCTGTAAAAGATATACATTATTTGAGTCCATTATTATGTAATATGTGCAATAGGCAAATTTCAGAGACTGAAAGTAGGCTAATGGTTGCCTAGAGCTAAGGACTGGAAGAAGGGATATGGGGAGTGAATGCTAATGGGTACTGAGTTTCTTTGTGGGGTGGTGCAAATATTCTAAAATTAGACTATGGTGGTAGTTACACAACTCTGAGTACACTAAAAACCCCTAAGCTTATACACTTTAAATGGGGGACTTTTATAGGATGTGAATTATATCTCAGGAAAACTGTTTTTTTTTTCCTTAGTCTTTTGAAACCCTTAACATTATAGAATTGATTTAAAAAATGCAAAGGTTGCTTTATAAAAAGTCAAAGAAACCCATATTTTTTCTGTCTCTGTAACAAGCACATACAAGCCTCCTAGCAATGTGGAAGTTTCTATGGGAGGTGCCAGCACTGGCAGTCTGTGTGTCCCTGAGCTCTGAGCCCAGTCCATGGTCACTTGCATATCACTTTAGCCACATCTGCTGGAGCATCAGGACTTGCGCTATAGCAATCAGAGGCCTGCCTGTTTGGGACACTTCTTCCTTGTGTGTATTCTTCTCAGTTAAGAAGATGCTGATTCTTCAGCCCTATCCTTCCAATTCCAGGTTCATGGCATACTTTTGATGCTTCAAAGGACTTTAAAAAATAAGTTTACTAAAATAAACATTTATCCAGCACTTACTGTGTACCATACACGGTATTAAGTACCAAGCCAAAGTGCAAAGATTCTCTTAACTTTTTGCTTTGCATGCTATACATCTTTGGGATCTGGAGTTTGATTTAGTGATTCTTTTTCACACAAGGGACATTCTTTAGTATCTGCTTCACCCTCTACTCATGCTGCCCCCTCCCCAAAATGGCTGTATGCTTACAGCAACTTTTAAAAGCGTGTGTAAATCTTGTTAAAATCATTATTTAAAAGGATCATTGATAGTCTTAAAGAAACAAATGTTACCTTTAAAAGATAATCTGTGTATGATAAGGCTAATTATTCTTCCAGGAGGAAATTAATAAAAGACTCTAGGTCATGCACAAAACTGCTAATAGGAAGGCCAGAATTTAATACTAGAAAGATAATATTGCTGAGACATGCACAGAACTTGTTACTGTGGCTGGGCCTTACCTGCTTCAATGTGAAATAATATGTTCTTAGAATGAAAGGAATGATAAAAACAAATCAGGTTTCATAGTCACAAGACTCTAGATTAAGGCCCCATAAAGGCAAGTGAGATAGAAACGATTCTTGTACCCAAGCTCTTTGGAAGAAAAATCACTGCATACATGCAAATTGCTTTCATCACAGCTCTACAAGGTTGCAAAATGAATAATGCATCGGCTATCTTATTGTAAAACAGGATGGAAACTGTGTACTGTGGCTTTTTAATAAAATAATATTCTTGCCTTTTAGCTGTTACATTTTTAAGATTATAGAAGTTTGGAGACAGATAGCATGCTTATTGTATTATTTACACATTTGTTTGTAAATAATAAAAATCAACACAGTTTGAATATAGCTACAAAATAGACTGAAAGATTGTGTAGAACCATTTAGGTAATATGGAAAAGGAAAAATATAAAACTATTAAAGAGACTTGTAACTTTGAGGGATTTGTTAATTTCATTGTGGACAGTAAATTCTTAGATAAGTGTTGATAATTTGGTTTGCATGTAAATAAAACACAAATGAAGCTAGTTTTGGTCTGGAGATGTGATACAGTGTGATGTGATGTGATGTGATATGATGTGATGTGATGTGATGTGATGTGATGTGATGTGATGTGATGTGATGTGTTCTATCCTTTGCAATCCAATCATATTTTGTACTATTTTCTTTCTTTCTAGACAGATGAACAAGCCATGTTAGAAGATACACTGGTTGCACTATTTGATTTGGAAAAAGTTTCTTTTTACTTTAAACCATCAGAAGAGGAACCACTGGTTGCAAGTAAGTAGTTAAATGTCTCATAGGTGTTTCATAGAATTTTTTGACATCAAACAAAAACATATGGCATAACTTTGATATTATATTTGATAATATAGTTCAAATTGTTTTATATAAAATGTCATATTTAGGGTAAAATAAATAATAATAACCAACTGTGGAAGTGATAGAAAATATACGTGAAGAGGCTTATACCAGACCATTGAAAGAACCTCGCGTTTCTAATTAAGCCATGGGTCAGAGGAATGACCTGATCTGGCTTACTTACTGAAAGCTGCCTCTGATTGCAGTGTTGAATAAAGCATTACTGGGGACAAGGACAGAAGCAAACCAGTGAGGAAGCTACTTCAGTGACCCAGGTTGAAAGATGATGGGGACTTGACCTTGAGGGTAGCTGTGGAGATGGTACAAGTGGTTGATTCTGAATGTATTAAATTATGAAGGTAGAGAGAACAGAATTTTATTAAAGTTTCATCCTCACTGATAAATGAGAGAGAATGAGAACATGAATTACAATGTTAAGGATTTGGATTATATTCAAGGGAGAACTTGGTGAAGGGGATTAATTGATTAGGATATTATTACTTGAAAAAATTGTATGGTCTTCTGTGGGCACGTATAAAATAGAATATATTTTCATTTACTTTAGTCATGTGGGTATGATTTTGCCAAAGGCAGAGAAACTCTTATTTTCACAACATAACCTGTTTTTTTTTTTCTTTCAAATTTTGCTTTAGGGGCCATAAGCTCACAGGAGTACTGTTTTCCATGGTTCAAATACGACATTACTGGTGAATGGTCTGTTGAACAAGCAGGCAGGGGACCCGTGTTATAAGCTTGATAAAACAGTTACTTATTGGGGCGCCTGGGTGGCTCAGTCGGTTAAGCATCCGACTTCGGCTCAGGTCACGATCTCACAGTCCGTGAGTCCGAGCCCCGCGTCGGGCTCTGGGCTGATGGCTCAGAGCCTGGAGCCTGTTTCCGATTCTGTGTCTCCCTCTCTCTCTGCCCCTCCCCCACTCATGCCCTGTCTCTCTCTGTCTCAAAAATAAATAAAAAAACGTTAAAAAAAATTAAAAAAAAAACAAAAAAACAGTTACTTATTGCATAGCCACCATGAGAGGTTTAACTTTAGCACATTGAAAACTAGTATAAATATTAGAGATAATTAAGACCACACAAGTAATATTAGCATGTAAATGTGTACATATCTGTGACAAATATAAACATTCATGTAATTCATATATATTTTTATGAATGTCCCCAAAGCATAACCTCAACTTCTGAAAACAGGTCCCTAGGGCAAGGTCAGTTCCAATGCTACACTAATAGATATTCCAAGCAAGTCGTTAACAGTGATGGTAGGAACATACCTAAGTATATTCAGGAAAGAAGAGAATTTTTTAATACCCAGTGTCATCACATCTTATTTAAGTGGTATAAGGAAGCTAGAGCTTTATTATTAATTGCATGTGATTTGATCTTTCTGTAAGGTTAGAAACAGAGGAGTCCGATGGACAAATTAATTTGCATCACTGTAGTGAAGACTAGTTTGGCTACTTGTCTTTGAAGGAAGGACTGAGCACAGAGGGGAGGAAACATGAAGTTATAAAGAGAACAGTGCTTTGAAGATAAGAAACTTGAGTCCCAAACTTGTGCGACTCTTATGCACAAACATGGGAATACCAGCTTTCCCTCACTCATGGGGTCATGAGCCTTAAATAAGATAATGTATTTGCAAGTCCCTAGCCTTGCACATTTTCTCTCTCTCTCTCTCTCTCTTAAAAACAAACATTAAAAAGAAATTTAATGAAAAAAACAAAAATTAAAAAAAAGGGGTGCCTGGGTGGCTCAGTTGGTTAAGCGGCTGACTTTGGCTCAGGTCATGATTTTGTGGCCTGTGGGTTCAAGCCCCACATTGTGCTCTGTGCTGACAGCTCAGAGCCTGGGACCTGCTTTGGATTCTGTCTCCCTCTCTCTATGTGCCTTCTTCCCTGCTTGTGCTATCTCTCTCTCTCTCTCTCTTAAAAATAAATAAACATTCAAAAAATTGAAAAACAAAAAAAAGAAAGTCCCTAACATTACAAGGCTCGTGGTAGTATTCAGCAAATATTTGAACCCATCCTCCTCACTTTATTACTCTGCATTCTTTTTAAAGAGCTATGTTTAGCGTTATTTATAGTCGTATTTTTGCATTAAAGAATAATGAGATTCTGAAAAAATAGGGCTTGCAAGCAAGTTGAACTCAAATGTCTGGATTGAAGACATTTTATTTTTCTTTAAGAAATACTAGGTATATACACCATGCTAACTGCTGAACTAAATTCCCGAGATATAATAGTGACTAAATAAAACAAAGACCCCATTGGCATGAAGCTTAGAAACTAGTGATAGATGGAAAGGAATAGATGGATATTGTAACCCACTGTGGTATAGGGAAAGTACGAGATCCTTTCTATGTCATGTTAGGTAATTAGTGAAGAAGGAATAAGTGAGCTAAATGATTAGGTTGTATAAAACTAAATATATTTTATGGAAAATCTTCATGTTTTTGGAGAATAAAAATATAATGATAGCAAATCTCCCCCCCTTTCAATGGTGATACAGGTAATTTTACTATAATGATTAGCAGAATGGATATTTTTGAGCTTTCACTTTTTCTATATGAGCCAGGCATTGCACCTGTAACCGTGAATGCCGTGGTGAATAGGACAGACACCATCCCTATCTTTATGGAGCTCACAGCCTACTTGGGAGAAAACAAAGAAGGAATCAACTACAAAGATGATTAGGGCCATGATAAATCCTATGCAAGAAATAAGCAGTGCATAAAGAATGAGGGTAAGGTGGCTCTTTAAGGAATCAACAAGGAAGGGCTCTCAGCAGAAATAGCTTTTAAGCTGAAATCCAAAGGGTGATAAAGACCCAGCCCTGCAGAGGGTCAAGGAAGAGCAATTCAGGCAAAGGGAACTAACAACTTCTTGGAGACTTACCTTCAAATTCATGGGCCTGTTCAGTGACGGAGGGCCAAGTTTACCGGGATGGGATGCCACGGTTGGAATTCCTCTCTGGAATAAATACCATAGGAGAGACCTTTTCTTCGTGCAATAATTTTTTTGTAGCCTTTAATTGTTACATAGTCCTAATCTTCGATTTTTTTTCATAGTAGATAAATTTCCACAAATAAAAGGCAGCAATTTCAGCTCCACATTACTATGTGCTTTTATAGGTATACCAATTACTTCGAGAGAAGGTCATTCTTTCACTCTTAGCTTTAACTTCATTTTAAATTTAATATACTTGATAATTTTCAGTCATTTTCACTTTCTTTCTTCCTAGGATAGCATGTTTATTTGTCCTACAATGGAACTCCAACTGCTGCGTTATTATCTTTCTTTCAAAAACATTTGGTGCCAAAGACTAAACAAATGGAGTTTTAAAAATTGAAATACAAATGAAAGACATTGTATGTAAAGGGAGACTAGAAAATACAAATACTTAGTATATACTTAGTATATATACATTTTCTATAGTGTCTGTGCATCCTTTTTCTATTATAGAGCTAAGGAAAAAACGGAGTTTCCCAATCATTCAAATCCAGTTAATTTCCAACTCTTCAACTGAGAAATGTCTTCTCTTTTCTAAACCCAAATCCTTTATACCTCCCATAAGCATATAGAAAGGGGCTCCTAGGTGGCTCAGTAAGAGTCCAACTCTTGATCTTCGCTCAGGTCAAAGCCCTGCATCAGGCTGTGCGCTGACAGCATAGCATGGAGCCTGCTTAAGATTCTCTCTCTCTCCCTGTCTCTCTGCCCCTCCCCTGCTCCCTTTCTCTCTCTCTCTCTCAAAATAAATAAAGTTAAAGAAACTCTAAAAATATGGAAAGAAAAATAAAATAAGCATTATTATATGGCATAAAAGAGACTTGTAGATGTTAATGCAATACCTCTGCTATTGATATGCATAATTGCCTACATTTAATGAGAAACCTGGAATCTCTCTTCCATAATGGATTTAACCTTGAACTCTACTTTTATACATAATTTTATTCAAGAAGTAGGTTAGAACTAACAAATATTGAGCAAGAACTTGTATTAAAATTTCTACTATATTTTTGCCTTAATTTTTAACTTGGTTAATATGACTATTCTAGCTTCTCAGGAAGATTTTACATTCTTTTTAAATGAAATGAAAGTTATTTGTCTTGGATAAGTAACATAAAATGAGAAGTATTTATCATAGCACTATGAAATACTCCTGCATCATTTTAGCTTTTCAAATTGGTTGTTTTTTGGGTTTGGTTTTTTATTTTGCTTTTGTTTTTGAGTAATTAAACTTAAGATCTTTGAGAAAACTAAAAGAATTTGGACAGATAATTTCTAATGACTGTAGGGCATCAACAGAGGTAATATGTTTTTGATCTGGTGCTCAGGGAATGGAACTTGCAAAACCCATGCGAATTTTGATAATGGTTGCTCTGTACCCAATCTCTTGTACGCTACTTAAGAATTGTACCCCAAGGACTCATTTTGACTAAAATATGAATGAGGCAGCTGCCCTGGGAGATTCTGATTCCAAACCATGTGTAACTAAACTTCTCATTTAGTTAAGTGAGACATCTGGTGTGTCAAAGTGTAACGAAGTTTCCTATTGTAGAATTTTATATACAGTACAGTAATAAATCTGTTGCTTTAGCTAATAAGAATCTGATTTAATACTTTCACTGAAGAGCGCTGTAAGTTTGCCTAACCTGAACTCGACATATATGTCAAGTATATTGTATGAGTATAATACATTATATATAATATGCATATATTTATATTAGTTTCTAGTAATTTTCAAGATTTTTTAAAAAGTTAACAAATACACTTTATAACATAACCTGACTTTTGGAAATAATGTAATATTAAATGTCATTTTAGATGTTCCTCTTACATATCAAGCGGAAGGAAGTCGGCAGGCTCTGAAAGTTTACTTCTACATTGATAGTTATCATTTTGAACAGCTGCCTCAACGTTTGAAAAATGGAGGAGGGTTTAAAATTCATCCTGTTCTTTTTGCACAAGGTAAACTACTTTTTTTAATACATGTACTTAAATTATGTTATCTTTATTTTTAAAAATACATGTAATTGTAGCCATCATAGTTGTTTTTTCCATTAATTCAAAAATTCCTTCACAGTACCTAGGTAATGTATTTACTTCTGCGAATGTTTATTAAGGAAAGAATAACATTAGTTTTAAATATTTACCAAATAGGACTGCAACAGTATTTATAATGGAGAAACAAGACATGAGTGGTTTAAATAATACAGATAAATTAATTTGGCTCAAATAAATTATGGTAGAGCCATTAAAAGTATATGGTTAAAATTTTTTTATGAGCTAGAAAAAGATTGGCAATGTACACATGCAAGTTACAAAAAATTTATATTCCATTCTCAATTATGTAATCCAAGTGTGTATATAATCAAATGTATATAAAATGTTTTTGGTATCATTGGGTGATTAAATTGATGATGACTTTTTATTCTTTGAGTTTTTACCCTGAGTAAAAATATATTCCTTTTATAAATAAAAAAATTGTTTTGGCAAATGAACAATGAGTTTTTTTAACTGCAATAGAAGAAATTAAGGTTAACATGAGTAAGAGTCTTTCAGTGAACTGGTTTCCAAGGAAAGATCCTGGATCTTTTTTATTTCCAGAGGCACAAATGCAGCCCCAAACTGATCAGAAGTCCAGATTATTCTAGTGTAGTTTCTTCTAGTCTATGATTTTTTTTTTTAACTCATGCTGTGGTCACAAGATTATATCAATTTCTCTGAGCAGGTCCATGGAGGATTTCATTTTTTTCTTCTTTTTTTTTTTTATTTTTTAAAAAAAAAATTTTTTTTTTCAACGTTTATTTATTTTTGGGACAGAGAGAGACAGAGCATGAATGGGGGAGGGGCAGAGAGAGAGGGAGACACAGAATCGGAAACAGGCTCCAGGCTCTGAGCCATCAGCCCAGAGCCCGACGCGGGGCTCGAACTCACGGACCGCGAGATCGTGACCTGGCTGAAGTCGGACGCCTAACCGACTGCGCCACCCAGGCGCCCCTCATTTTTTTCTTCTATTGAGTTTTCAATAACTGCATCAGTTTTGCTGTGGAATCTTTATATTCTAATAAAAAATGAGAAGAGTAGAGAAATAAAATTAATCTCTGTAACTGAAGAACAGACAGGCAAATGAAATAAAAATCTACGGCCAAGTGAAAATTCTTGTACCATATGCATATTATTGTAATTCTAAAAGATAGATTGCCCTTCCTTTGATTGCCATAGTTTAAAAACAATGACTGCCTCAGATACTTGGTAAGAATACATTTAAGCAGAGGAAATTGTCAGTGCAGAGATCTTAGGAGTTTATTAGAAGGTATTTTCATTTTTTTTTTTTTTGGAGGACTGTGATAGGGTCCATATAGACAATACAAGAGTCTGTAATGGAAAGGAATGGGGGAATAAAAAGAAACTGAGCAGAAATAGACCTTTGGAGCTACCTTGGGAGGATAGTTTAGCCTAAAATATGTTAAATGCCATTACACAGATAGTTTTAGAAGACAAAGAAGGAGGTTAACTTTTATAGGATTTAAACAGAGTTTACAGTTATTAAAGGTTCTTCACTTCCTTTCCTTTACTCCTCTTTTTAAAAATTCTGCCTTTGAAATCATGACTGAGATGACAGATGGCATTTTGCATCTTTTCTAAAAAAATTATTACATTTGTGACACACCAGCCATAAATAGCTGAATATTCATACCCAACAGCAAATGTTCATAGGAAAAGGAAGAGTATTTTCCAAGTAACCTCTCTTTTATAATTATGGCTAAGTCTAATTTAAAAAAAAAATCCCTAAATACGTACTAGTTCAGTGAATAGAGTATTGCTTTTTAAAATGTAACGGAACACTAGCTAACATTAGGTTTTAATATTTACACAGCAATGAACTATGAAAAAGCAACAGTGGAAATACTATTGCAATTGAGGTCACAGATAGGTAAAGAAGACTGGAAAACAGCTTGTCTCATTAGAACAGTGTCACTGATAAGGCTGCTTATTTAAAGGGGCTGCCGAAGTTCCTCTGCACTTCTAAAACTCCCATGAGGATTCATTATTAGTCGCTCTGACTATTTTCATCAGATTGAGAGAAGCCCAGGAAATTCAACACCAGCTTGAATAGAGATTGCCATCTGGTAATTGAAAGTGGTGGTAAATGAAGAGATTCCAAATGGTGTCTATTCCGGAGATGGAAGTTTATTCAAAGGGTTTTAGCTTTAGGTGTACATATGTACATTATTGGTCTTTGCTAGCAAATACGAAAATTAGAAAAATGAGACGAATTTGAAAACCTCCTGGGAAAATTATTTCTGTCAGCCCTTGTAAAGTTGTCTGTTGTACCATATACTTAGAACAGGAAGCAAACATACTGCTTTCTTCTCATTTTTCTCACCTGAATAGACCTTTTGGCGAAGGAGGGCACACTGACTGATGGGGCTCGCTGCAGAGATGGGACCAGCTATGAGATCAGGAATTCTAGTGCCAGAAGCAAGCAGGATACACTTTAAGGAACATGTATCACTCAAGGGGAGACCTGCAGGAGAATAGCAATCGAGGCAGACAAAACAAGTGATACAGATTTACAAGATAAAGATCACAGAAACAGCCAAACAGGAAAGTCAGCACGGAGCATAAGCAAAATGCTAGAAGGAAAAGATCACACAAAAGCAGTCTTCTCTAAGTACTTCCTACAGGCCAGGGAATTAACCCTGGAGGGATCCCCAAGCCCTTGATGAGATAAAGCAAGTGACTACAAACTTGGTGAAAATGGGAGTAAGGAGGATAGATATTCAGGGTCACTTCCTCTGCCCATTTCCCGTTGGCTTATTTGCTTGCTGTTTCTCAGTGATTCTCAATACTGGCTGCACTTTAATCACCTTGGGGAGGTTTTAGAAAATACCCAAGCTTGGTTCCACACCAAACTGATTAAGTCAGAATCTCTGGGACATAAGGCCCAGACACCAGTATATTTTAGAATTTTTACCAGTGATTCTTTTTTTTTCTTTTTAAGTTTATTTACTTATTTTGAGAGATACTGAGACAGCATGAATGGGGTAGGGGCAGAGAGAGAGAGGGAGAGAAAATCCCAAGCAGGCTCCACACTGTCATTGCAGAGCCCGATACGGGGCCTGAACCCACGAAACCATGAGATCATGACTTGAGAGCCAAAACCAAGAGTCGGACGCTTAATCGACTGAGCCACCCAGGCACCCCTTTAAGGTGATTCTAAAGTGCACCGGGAGTGAGGAAGCACAGGTCAACGTAGATTATGAAGCACTGTGCAATTATCCAGTTAATCCTTGCTTAATTAGATTGATCCATTTCACAAAGGTTCCACATTTCTAGATATGGGGAGACCGGGCGATGAGGTAGGGCCTTTTCACTTCTGCATTGTTAAGTCATGAGGAGGCAGGCTGCCTCTAGGAGATAATGATTTCAGTGGGACAGTTTTCTTCAGCAAAGACTGAAGATTCCCTAAAGAGCTAATGGCTGAGGGCTGGCTTCTGGCAACCGCAACAGCTAGGCAACAAGCCCATCCTTTCTGAAAGGGAATCTGAGTGAGCGACCTGCCATGGTCCACCCTGTACCCTCAGATCCATTTGGGTCAAGAGTAGGAATGTCTCCTTTGTGACTCTGATGGGCTCCCTTCCTGGGGAAGAAACATGGTAATGGGATGAGAAATAACCCCTGCTGCTGCAGCTGGTCTTGGGGCTACCAAAGATGCCTATTTTCCCTCTTCTGTATCCATTGTGGATCATCCTTGCCCTCAGCCTCAACCTTCTGGTCCCAGTGGCATGACTAAGACTTCCATCCCCGGGGGGCCTGACCCTCCTGTTCATTCTGCCCTCCTCAGGCCAGGGTTGCTGCATTTGTCCATTTACCGTCAAATTTAGACATGGAAGTACCAAGAGGGACCCAAGTGGATTACTGGGTGCCAAACATGTTCCTTCCTGCCCTCATTATATAGCAATAGCCCTACTTCCTTATGTGTTGCAGACTATGAGTCTGGAGTTCTCTCTTGTCCGGCAAGAGAGCAGATGCAAAATTGAATATGAGAGAGGCTAATGTCCAGGAGGAGACAAGAACCCCAAACAGGGGTTTCCTCTCCGTATTTATTGAGTGCATGAGGTTGTACACACATGGTGAAAGTGAAGAAAATAAGATCTTACACACGTGGTGAAGGTGGAGAAAACAATCAGACAGTTATCATTAACTTGTGTGTGTAAGAAGCAAAGAGTCTAGGGGGCAAGTGGCGTTTGTGATCAAGGTATACAGGCATCAGATGGAAAGTAAGTTCCTGCAGGTGATACAAAAGTTGCTCGTGATCCCAGTACAATATCTCGATAGCTCACCTGAGGCACTTTCACCCCATGGTGGCGGCTTTCCACACTGTTTTTTTTCTAACCCATTTATATAAGTAGAACCTATTTCCCCACAATTAGGATGATCAGAGTCGACCAGCCTTGCCAAGATGGTGGTCTCTCTTCCTTGGATGCCTTGGCACCAGGGGCCTACAGTGCTCAGGTGGTAACCGTAGCTGATGTTCAGTGGGACCCCTGCCTTGTCTTCTAGGGAAAGTGGGCTACTTTGGGGATCAGGACCTTTTAAACCCATGGAGCCAAAGTTTCAGGGATGGGAAGCACACATCCCTAAGTGACGCACTGGGACTGATGTTGTATTAGTTTCCCAGCCCTGCCGTAACAAATTACCACAAACTCTGTGGCTTAAAACGACAGAAATTTATTCTGTCATCGTTTTGGAGGCTAAAAGTATGAAATCAAGATGCCTGAAGGCCATGCTCTCTTGGAAGACTCTAAGGAAGAATCCTTCCTTAACTTTAGCTTCTGCTGACTGTCAGAAGTCCATGGCATGCCTTGGCTTGTGACGCAAGAATTACAGCCTCTGCCTTCTTCTTCACACAACCTTCTTCCCTCAGTGTGTCAGTCTCTGTGTCTCTGTCCCAATAAGGT